AAAGCTATGGTTTTTCCAGTAGCGATGTACTGAAGTGAGAGTTGGACCATAAAGAAGGCTGACCACCGAAGAACTGATGCTTTTGAATTGTGGTGCTGGAGGAGACTCTTGAGAGTCCCTTGGACTGCAAGGAGAACAAATCTATCCATTTTGCAGGAAATCAACCCTGAGTGCTCACTGGAAGGACAGATATGAAGCTGAGGCTCCAATACTTTGGCCATCTCACGATAAGAGAAGACTCCCTGGAAAATCCCTGATGTCGGGAAAATGTGAAGGCAAGAAAAGGGGGCAACAGAGGATAAGATGGTTGGACAGTGTCATTGAAGTTACCAACATGAATTTGACCCAACTTTGGGAGGCAGTGGAAGACAGGAGGGCCTGGCGTGCTCTGGTCCATGGGGTCACGAAGAGTCAGACACAACTAAACAACAACAAATGATTCCCTGTGTTTTTCAGTATGTATGAGAAAGAACCTGTCTACGTACATCAGCCACACCTTATTGCTCATTCTCATCATCCCTAGCTGATCATGGGCTTCTCTATTTCCATCTAATGTTAAACTACTCAATATGATGCACTTATTTCACATTTGTGGCAAACTAGTCTAGACTGCAGAGGTTCAGCAGTAGGTGGACAGAAAATGGATGAATGTGATTTACCAGCTGATTGGCACTGTTGTGTGTTTTGCCTTCTCTAATTCTAGTTCTAGAAAATACCTCACATAAGGATAACCTCCTGCATGTAAGCCTTGATTTTGCACTGCAAAGTTATCTTAGTAGCTCACACCCTATATGTCCTCTATATCTAACTATAGGGCCTCACATTCTCCATATTGACAGGTTGTTGCAACCCTTGCTCATCATGTCTTTCATTACTGAAAGCTGCATCACAGATTCTATCCCAGTAAGCATGACCCACTAGGAATTACTCTTCCTGAGACTTGGGGAGGGCACAATGCATTGTTTAATCCCTTGGAAGCCTGCCATATGCCTTACAGCTTTTATATTGTTCATCTCCACAGCAGCCAATGAAGAATTCATGGTTTACAGATGGCTAACAAACAAGACGGGTACTGGATTCCTTTAGCCCCTAGCTGAGCTGAGATTTGAATCAAACTTCTGTCCTCACACAGCCAACAATAAGTCCCTCCCACAGATACATACTGTAATAATTGGCTAGGTATTCTATAGGGATGTTATGTGAAAATCTTAGGTTTTGATTCATTCCAGGTTGTTTCAGATATGCTCATTTCATTTTGTGTTCATTGTGCACTGCTCCTTTAACTCCAAAGGAGCTGCCTCTTCTGGGTTACTCTGTTTTATTTTTGCCCTATTCATATTCTTTCTGACATTCACCTCAAAATCCTAAATAACCTGTAAAACTACCCAAGGAAAGCAAAGGGAAGGCAACAGAGAATCCGTCTACTTCAGAAACAGTCACCAGTACTACCAACCACCACAGAACAAAACAGGTCTCTAAAAAGCCACATGAAAATATACACCTTCAATAGAATAAATGCACAGTAAATCAACCAAATAATAAATAAATAAATAAACCAAATCAACCAGGGAAAGCACCCTCTCTCATACACACATGGGGGGAAAGCAAAATAAATAATACCTGCACTCAGCTCCCTTTCACAATAGTCAAGAAAAGCAAGCAAGCAAATAAAGGCAAAAAATATGCAAAACAATAGCTAATAAACTTATCATAATCCTATAAGCAAAACAAAAATACAACGCAGAGTAATTTCTCTCCCTTCCCTGCCACTTGTTACCATCCTTCTCTTTTCTCCCTTGAGTCCAGTGCAGCAGCACCAGGCAGGCAAGTAGACAGGTGGGCAAATAAAAATAGCGCCTAGAAATACATTATAGAAGCGCACTGTGAGACTAGTATTATCTTTTTTTTAATTAAAGCCCTTTCCACATACTACTACTCACTATTTTCTCTCTTAAAGTGGGCTCTATTCAAATTATTTAAACATAAGCCATTGGTTTAGTTACAACCAAAAGCTTGTATTTTATAAATGCATGGTTTTTTTCTTCAGCAAAAATATCAATTAAAATTACTTTCCAGATATTGCCAATGCCATTGGCAACATAACGTTAAATCCCACTGTTTTCAGTGGGCTTATCGTGACTACTGTGGGTGTCCACTCAATACAGCCCAGGCTTCATGTGTGCAAGGGATTGTTAACCCAACTTTTTAGATATTGCGCTATAACCTACCCCATCAGTATATGGCAAACTTCCTTGGACTGGCTGTTTGATATTTTAAAACTATCTAACTGATGTATAAAAAACATGTTTCTTTAGCATAAAAGTATCAGCTGCTATCATCACTCGGGATGAAAAGTGATTTGTGAAAAGCCCTGGACAATCCTATATTGTTAGCAATGTACAGTACTGGCTACTACTAGTGTTTTCTACATTTAATGTCTAAATCATTTCACTAACTACAATATTATTACCCCATCATGTACATCATATACATACTTAAGGAGTTATAGGTCATGGACTCTCATGCCCTACTAAAACATGTTTGCCTTCATAGTGTACCACAGACTCTTGGTTATACCATTATCAGGTATTCCCCAAACAGATTCAGTTGGCTCACGGTGGAGGCTTATAACGACCCAATGAAAGCTCAGCGACTAAACCATTCAAAGTGGCTTTTGTTTTGAAGTTCATGACTGCCTTTCAAGTAAGGAGGCTTCTAAAATCATGTAGACTGCTTCTTCCCATACAAGATCTGATCTCTCCGTGTGTGCTAAACCAAGCAGAGAGATCCGAGAGTCTTCAGAAGGCGTTTCCTCTACCGGAGTGTGGTGAACTTGTTCGGGAAAAGAGGGCCACGGGGGGGGGGGGGTTATTACAGCCAGCGCCCTGTCGCGTAAAGAGCCCTTCGTCCTGACTGGAGCCCATCCTCTTTTTTAAGCCCCTTTCTCTCTCCCCCACCCCACCCCATGAGGCAGCCCCACCTCCAGCTCCCGCATGCCTATCTCAGGCTCTGCTTTGCATTCCAGGCGCCTGGGCAAAAATTCCCCGTCGCCCACACCTTCGCCCCCACTCCTCCCGAGATAAAGCACCCTCCTCACCACGACTATCCCCGATTCCACAGTCCATCGCCCATCCCTTCAGCGTGGCCCTAACAGTCCGCCTGGCCACCACCACCACCCCCAGCACGCCTTCCCTCCGGCCCCCCACTCCCTTCCCCCCAAGGGCTCCCCCTCACTCACCGCGATGACAACCGTGTCTTCGGCCTGGAACTTGGCGATGTACTTGTCGCCCCGAGTCACCTCCGAGTCGTTAAGGGGCCTGAAGCGACACATCACTTTGATGTTGCACTCCGCCGGGTCCGCCATCTTAGGCCGCCGCCGCCTCCCGGGCGTTCAAACAGGCCAAGCCGCCGCCGCCGCCCCCTTGTCCCCACCGCCGCCTTCTCCTTCCCCTGGCTCTGCCCGGGGAAGGGGGCTCTTGCCGGCCACCCCCGTCAGGAGACCCGCTGCCCGAAGAATGGGGGAAGGGCTGCTCCGCCCAGGCCGCGGCCGCCTCCCGCATTCACTTCCCTTCCAATATGGCAGCCATGGGGGCGCCTGCAGCCGGCGAATCCAGGCCCTCCCCTTCTCCGGGCAGAGGCGGAGTCGGCAGTTCGGGCAGGGAGCCGGTGACGTCACCCTCTGCAGAGAACGCCAAGAGCTCGCGCCGCCTCAGATGGACGGCGCAGGCGCAAAAACGGTCCCTTTGCGCGGTCAAGCAGAAAAAGCGTCCGCCGCACAGGCGTTGCGGGGGGGGAGGGGGTCGAGTTTGGTGGGGTCTCGCACGTGACTGAGGGAGAGTTCAGAGTCGCGGCTCGAGACGGAAGCTATGCAGTGCGCAAGCGCAGTTTAGTTTAAGATGGGGGGGAAGAGGAGGAGGGGTTCCCTCTGAATACTGTATTTGTAGCAGTCAAGGCTAGGTAGGCGTTGAATCAGGGCCCTGTTCCATGCAAAGTGGGTGATCAACCACTTAGTTATGGCATTTTCCCGAAATTTTTATAAGGAATGCCTGTAAAGTGTTTTGTTAATTTATTAATTGTATTTCCCTTTTCTCCAGAAAAGCTCAGGATGCTATCCTGCCTGTCGTGGTTTACTTCTTATGTGGGAGTGGGACATTGCAGGAAAAATGACAAATATTTCTTTTCCCATTTTTTAAAATTAAAATTTGGATCTGTTGGAGCACTCCCACTCTGGAGCACTGTGACCCAAGCATAGGGTTGCATTGCTGATGTGTCAGTATTATGTGCATTGTATATCATCAAATTAGAATTGATTTAGAACAATCCTGATAGGGGCTTTCAAGATAATTAAGATGGAGGGGCATGAGTGAGCAGATCTGGGGATTCAAAACCGAGTGTCCCTGAGATTTAGTCCATTGTTGTATCTACTACACGACACTGGGTCACATCCACCAAAATTGTGACGCTACAGTGTTGAAGCAAGAACTGAGTACCATCCCAAGTGGTTTGCAGTCAATAAATATTGAGAGAGATTAATCTAAGACAATAACTAAACCATTATGGAAAATGCATAAGTAGAGGTTTTACTTTTTTCTAAATGTCACCCCGAAGGAACATTTTGAACATTAATTTATCTAACAGAGGACTAGTGTCCGTCTGTGGAAATTGCACGAGGTTTTGGGATATGTTCTAGACTGT